GGACTTGTACAAGTGAAGACCATAAGATAAAGTACTCTGAATATAGCGTACGATACGCTTGAGAACGTTCATATGCTCATTTGTTGGAGTATGCATATTAAGAAAGATCTGCTGCACGGCATAAGATATGTCAGGCTGAGTAAAGGTAAGTGTAGACATCTAAAAATGTCTCCCCAAAACCAAACCCGATGATGAACAACCTTTCACCGCCATTATTGGTCGGGTCGAGTATCTAATCTCGAGAGTGCTTAAAATACATTTTTAATCAAACACATTCTACAAGTCAGTCAACAGATCAGTCCAAGTATTTAGTCAAAGCATAGTCTAGCCCTCATTTCTAGCCTATACCTTTTTAATCCATTTCATTCTATTTATTAATTAAGCCTGATTAATAAATATTAATAACCCTAAACCTAATTAAGCCCAAAACACTGAAACGACGCCTAAATTATCCTGTACTTAATGTGAAACAAAAAGATAAAAATGAATGTAGACGGAATTCCAGAAAAGGAATCTACTGTGTCACGGCAGAAATGTCGCGTCACGGCAATCTGTACCGTGTCACGAAAATGTGTGACGTGTCACGGCAATTTATGCCGTGACACAACAATTTCTAGGGTTTTCTCCGCAGCGCTTTTCATTTATAGGGTTTCGTGCATCACCCTACTCATTTCTTCTATAAAAACGAGGCTGATTTGTCAGTTTCAGGGCACAAACACACATTCTAATCTCTTTCTCTCATATTCTAAGCCTTAAAAACTTGCCTTCCTAATTACACCATTCCTCCCTTAAGCACTCCTCAGAGTCCATACAACACCCGAAGTTCCATACTTAAACCAAGGCGCGAAAGGTATAACTGTTTGAGGGTTTGGCCCCAAATCAACTCTACTTTTATTTAATTTAATTTCAATTTATTTATTATTCTTTGAAGTTACTAACGTTTTTATTCATGATGTAGAAACTTAAAGAAGCGTGGAACGTGAGTAATTAATTTACTTAATTACTCTTATTTTTATTCTTATTGCTAGTATCATGATTAGGGTTATTATGCTTTGATTTGACTAACGTCATTATGGCTAAAATGCTTCCAATGTTGATGTTGGTTTTTATTATATTTATGATCATCATATTGCATGTTAAAGGGAATATGTAATTGAAGATAACGCTTAATAAGATAATTAAGACGACCGGTTTAGGTTCCTTTTTAATCTTGTTGTTTAATCAAGAGATCACAATATTTTAGAATTATATGTTGCATTAACATTCAACCAATTTAGCTTAATAATAGTTTGGAGTAAATTGAATTTATGTTTGTATTCCTTTGAGATCGCAGGAATCACTTTTCACAATAAGAATCGAGTAGAGGCCAATATGGGCGAATGTGACTCCATGACTCACTTCGTACCATCGTCCCCGATCCTCCTTTTGTGGTTCCGAACCATACGGAGTTAGTAATCTCATGGATTATAAATGAGGGTGTAACCTTCACGGGTCAATCGTTGTTGCCTATTATTGTCCCCTTTTCGTGGTTGCCTTAAATGATCCGTGAACGGTTTACAAGTTCCTTAAAAACTTGTTGGCGACTCTCTACTATGCTTTGTCCCTAATTGTTGTCCCTAATCGTATGTCAATACCCACTTCCTAAGAGTGCCAAGCATATTCATAACACGCTTAGGTAGGCGCGCTTCGAATGACGCCTATAGTAAGGCACTGAAGAGCACCTAAAAGACTACGATATTTAGTCGGATCATCATAGGGAGCATCCTTGGTGGCACAAAGTTTGGACTTTGTGTCAACGGGAGTAGGAGATGAATTACAATTTGACATTCCGGCACGTTCAACAATACTAGCAGCATACTACTGTTTCTAAGACAAGAAAAGACCATTGCGGCAATACCCAAAAAGAAACTCAGAGGACCAAGATCCTTCATAGAAAACTCAGAGCCAAGAGAGTCATAATATTCTTACGAAGATGATCAGAAGAAGCCGTAAGAATAATGTCATCCACATATAAAGAATATACGCAATACCAGAACCATTCTTATAGATGAATAAAGAGTGATCTAACTTACTGTGAGTGAACTCAATGGTAGCAACAAAATCAGCAAATCTTTGGTACCAAGCAGGAGGAGCCTGTTTCAAACCATACAAATACTTCTTCAATAATCACACATGATCCGGATAATCTTTGTCTCGAAACCCAGGGGTTGATGCATATAAACTGTTTCATTGAGATGACCATGTAAAAAAGCATTTTTGACATCCATTTGATGAATGGGCCAAGATTTAGAGAGAGAAATGCTTAGAACTACTCTAATGGTAGCAGGTTTAACCACAGGGCTAAACGTCTCACCACAATCAACACCCTACTCTTGAGTCTTTCCATCACCTACAAGACGAGCCTTATGGCGCTCAAAAGAGTCGTCAGACTTATGTTTGTGCCGAAAAAACCCACATAGATCGAATAACATTCACATTAGGTGGTCTAGGCACTAATTCCCAAGTCTTATTATCAATTAAAGCATTAAACATCAAACATTTCACTCTTCCAATTTTGATCACGTAGTGCACTAACAGGATTTTTTAGGATAGGGGAAATAAATGTAGTGGTAGATATGTGTAGATTGGAAGAGTATTTTGGATTTGGATTAAATATACCATTGATAGCACGAGTAGTCATGCGGTGTAACATGGGGTTGGTAGGCCTAGGAGTAGTGTGAGTGGTGGACCGTGGAGATGGAAGCTGTGTAGTAGCAGTATGTATGTGGGCTAGATGGGGGAGAGACTTGATGGACCGGACTACTTTGGAGGATTGGAGTAGGGGAGATGGGTCGTTGCTGCTGTGGGCCTGTGGGAGCAGCTGTCCGTGAATGGACATTAGAAGAGGAGCCATCTGTAGGGGGGTCTGGGCCCGTATGTGACTACAGCCTAGATTAAGAAAAAGCTGGGCTGGATTGGACGTTTGGGTCAAGTTGCATAGTGGGAGTAGGAGCTTGAGAGATATAATGCAGAAGCTGAGAATTAATATTCTCATCCAAGAAATCATAGTTTGAAGGTTGTGTTTTATAGACTTTGGAAAATGGAACTTCGGTTTCAACAAAACGAACATGACGACAAATTATGATTTTACCAATAAACATGTCATAAAATTTCGAGCCACGATGATTAGGAGCCGGACCTAAATATGCACAAGGAGTCGACCTCTCTTGTAACTTATGGATAGTAGTGGAAGGAAACAAAGGGAAACATAAGCAACCAAAGACACGCAAACCCGAGTAATCAGGGTCACTTTGATAGAGGATTTGAGTGGGTGGTTGGTAATCTAAGACCTTAGAAGGGAGGATATTGTGGAAATAAATTGCCATAGAAAGAGCATGATGTTAGAAAGAGGGTGGCATAGATGCATGAGAGAGAAGAGTACGTGCGAATGATAATATTGATGGATTTAATATGTCGTTCAGCCTTCCCGTTTTGAGGGGAAGTATGAGGACACGAGAGGCGAAAAGGCATGCCATGTTGATAAAAAATAACTGCTTAAAAGTGCCATTTATGTACTCCGTTCCGTTGTTACATTGGAATGTTTTACTATTACTTCGAATTGAGTCCTAGCTAGAGCATGAAAAGATAAGAATAGTTGTTTGACCTGAGATTTCCTAGCAATAGGAAAAGTCCACAAAAATTTGCTATAGTCATCAAGAAATAGAACTTAATAACAATGGCCGGACGTACTAGCAATTGGAGAAGTCCAAAGATCACTATGAATAATATCAAACAGAAGAAAAGTATATGACAACGAATCATAAAAAGGTAGTTTAGAATGTTTCCCAAGAGGACAAGAAGAACAATAACTTTTACAAGCCTTATTACAATCAATAAACTTATTACTATGAATAGACTGAAGAATAGCATCGCAGGGGTGACCTAGACGATTGTGCCAAAGATTGGAAGATAAGGAAGTAAAAGTTGAATGATTGTTGGAAGAAATGGCTTGCGTGTTGGAGAAAAGAGGATATAAGTCTCCGGTTCTATCACATCTCATTAGTCTGTTCCCCGTCTGTAAGTCATTGACAGAAAAACCAAAAGGGTCAAAAGAGACAGAAACCATATTATCCATGGTAAATTTACGAACGGAAACAAGATTTTTTAATGAGATTGGGAGCATGTACCACATTGTTTAGGGTAAATGGTGGATGGGGTGGAGGTAAAATAGCGCTACCATGACCAACGATCGGAATTAAATGACCACTACCAACAACAATGTTATGATGTTTATAGCTAGAATTGAAATAAGAAGATAGAATACCTCCATCTGCTGTCATATGAGACGTAGCCCCCGTATCCATATAGTAATTCCCATCGGGTTGAGAGAACGAGAGAGCATACATGGCTGCTTCAATGTCAGTGAGTGTATAGCTAGCAGTAGATGGAGTTACAACATTGTAGGCTTGTGGCCTGGGCCCAAGCAGGTCTGACCTAGCTGGACGATGGACAGAAGGATTGGGCCGTGGCTGCCATGAGTAAGCAGGGTAAGGGCATGGTGGAACTGACCAGCCTCCCCAAGGTTGCTGCCACATCTGCTGCCACTGTGGCGGTGGGGCCTACTAGCGTGGCTTCCATTGAGCGTGCTGACTGGACGACTGACCGGGCTGACTGGACTGCTGACTAGGCTAACCGGACCCACTTTACTGACTGGATCCTTTTCCTTTCCCCTTATTTTTGTTGCTATTTCGCCCCTTATTATTGTTTTTGTTGCACTTGGGAGTGGAAGAAGAATCGCTGCTTGGAGCAGCAACCATGGCGGCATTAGTGTGGGTCCCAGAGCCACCTGACTCACGTGAAAGACGTGACTTAATGGTGCACTTCACCATTTTCAATGGTTCCTGATTTTGAATATAATCAAACGTACCACTATAAGCCTCCGAAAATGAACTTGTGAGTCGAAGAACAAGACGTCCATTTGTCACCGGAGCATCTACAGCAACTAACCTGTCCGCAAGAGATTAAAGATGATTGCAGTAGGTGTCAATTGAATTAAAATCCTCAAAATCAGCATTGGTAATTTCCTCTTCAAGGTGGGTAGCCCGAGAAGCCTTGTTATCTTGGAAAAGAGATTCAAGGCGTGTCCATGCTCCCTCGGCAGTGTCATTGCGACGAAGGATAGCGTGGAGAAGATCAAAGGAGATTGTGCCGTAAATCCACTGTAATACTACGACATCAAGACGGTTCCACAAAGCAATATCAGCAGATTTATTTGCCTCAAAGGCGGCCTTTGCTTTCACGTCTGTTGGAGAAACCAGATGATCATGAACCCTAGCAAGGTTGGTGAAGAGAGTAGCCCAAGAATGATACAAGGAATGCTCATTATCTAATGTGATAGGGACATTAGTGATGGTGAGAGCAGGATGAAACTTGGGTGCTTCAGCCATGATTGATGAAGAAAAGGAGAAGAGAAGATAAGGAGGAGGAAGAAGAAGAAGAAGAACGGCTGCTAGGGTTTAGAGTGAAGGATTGTAACTTTTTCTGATACCATGAAGGAAGTCAATTCCGTGGGTTTTTCATTAAACACCAAAGTGTATATGTACAAATGTACAAATCAGGGTTAGAAACCTAATTAAGTAAACTAATTAAATATTTTACAAAAATATTTACCAAATATACAAAGTCTATCAAAACCACCTCTAATTTCAACAAACTGCGCACACATACTACATGTACATGTAAAATTATTCAACATAGATTATGAAGTGTCTTAGAATTATCACAATACCACACACACGCTCATGAACATGTAATATATTTATATGACATAGATTATGAAGTGTCTCGGAAACCTCCTCTAATGTCAACACAAACTCCAGAGACATAATGCACATGTAATTCTATTTTACATAGATTAAGCAGTGCCTTGAAAACCTCCTCCAATACCATACAAACTACGCACATGTACATGAAAATTTATTCAACATAGATTATGAAGTACGTACCTTAGAAACCTCCTTTATGAATACTAATACCGATATCGCAATAGGTAATTAGGTATGAAATCATCCATGAAAAAGCATGGCAGGGTTAGACAACTAACATGTTAATAAGCATGTTTAGAAATTTGGCACTATTCAATTAATCGACTTTAATTATATGGTTTAATATATATTTTTATTATTTTAGTCTTGCATGTTGATTAACTCAATTCATTGCGAAAAATTTTATGTAACAGTGTCATTTGACACTCAAAAGGATCTAGTATGCAATTCCAAACCTGAGGTTTATCGAGGAACAAAAGATAAAGTACCGATCTTTGCTGAAAAAGAACGAAGAACTTTTCGACTAGAAAAGGAAAATGGTGATAAAGAATGCAATTCAAGAAAAAGTTTAGCTTGGGATCATGCATTTTTAACAAGCCCTGGTATGTACATGCCTTTTTAATTTTACATCTTTACGATTTTTGTAACTTAAACGTGTGTACGATTAACTGATCCTTTTGACTTTCGTGATTGTTTAAGGTTTTCTTGAACTCGAGGAATTGTGTCTTGTGAATAGTGGTTTCAAGAATCTTGAGGTATCATCTTCACTTGGAAATGAAGATAATGTGAAGAGGTGTGTAAAGTGACTTTGAGTAAACTTTTTAATCCCTTTGAATGCAAGTAATAACTGTTTATTTGGAAATTTGCAGTAAAGTTTGCCGGGAAAGAAAATTAAGTCAGAAACTAGGCGTTGGATCTGGTGGAAAACAGAAATGTCAGTGTAAGTAGACGCTTACTCGTTTCAGATGAAGTATGAGTTGCATAACCTGTTCTGATGGGCTAGTTTTGTGCTCTGCATGACTTTCGTTTTTAAGTGAAATTGTGAAAGTATTTTTCAATCTCAGCACTGTATTCTGATTGTTACTTCTGTCCATTGAACTTATTATGTCTGATAGATATTAATCGATTCAAAGAAAGTAATCTTCCCTGCTTGTAGTTGCTTCCAACCATTACTTATTCTGTGTCACACTCATGATATTCTTTCTTATCGCACTGTCTTTTCTCTTATGGCCTTTTACAGCATTGTTGAAAACAAAAGTTGCGTCTCCAAGCAAGGTAAGGTTTATCAGATAGTGCTTTTGCTAGAAACATCTATAAATGACTTGAGCAGTTGAGCATAAGTGCCTATTGCTTTTCTTGGACTTTCAGATGGTGTCGACACAAGGCTCCATACGACAACAGATGGCTGTTGAAATATCAGAGATGATATCAAGATCTGCTGTTGTGAAAGCACAATCTGTGAGTTGACTGACCACTTATCACATTACTGATTAGGCGCATCCAGGACCGTTGGACTGGAATATTTAGCTGAACTTTTTAAAAGCATCCAACTGAAAAAATTCAGGCTGATAAGGACAGTTACTGCTGTATTTGATATTTTGATATACAGCAAGATATTTATGACTATATGAGCAAGTAGCAAAAATCTTGAAAGCATTATAACTAAATTTATTTTGAATTGATTAAGAACATTATTAGCAGGAAGGAACCTTTAAAATCCACCGGAATCAGGAGCCAGACTAGAGTCTCTAGGGTGCATGACAAAAAACCACCTCTGCGAGCAATCAGCAGAAATGGTAAAACTGAAACTAGAACTGAATCTAACATTATTTACTACTCCATCGGTCCCATATTATTCTGCGTACTTTCCCTGAGTCACAAGATCTGTTACTTGGCCTATCACTGGAATGCTAGTGCCAAACCTAATGCAAAATACATGGAACGGAAGGAGTATTCATTTGGATTTCGTTTATTATCTGATACTGAATCAACCATAAATACTACAGGACATGGCATGGTGGTTCCCAAACAACCAGATTTAAGGAGCTCTAATTCTGTATCAAAATCCTCCCAATCTCTCTTGCCTTCATATGCTACTATATGTCAATTGATTATTCTCCAAGTAAAACTTCCATGGATAATTTACAGACTGCAAGCCTGCTGGAATCACAGGAGATGCAAGGTAGTTTCAGAAATCAGGTTTTTTTTTTTTTTTTCAAGTTAATAATTGTAATAAACTGAACCTTTTGAGCTACTTTCGTATGTACACGAGTCTAATAGGCCTTATTATAACATACTTCATTTTGAATACTATATAGGACTATAAGTGAATGCATTGTTAATCTTATTCTTCTATTAATCTACTTCAGATGGTAGTATCACTTATGATATTAATGTTTCTCAAACATTGAACTTAGTAGGCCATCAAAACAATCATCAACTTCATTCTTGCACCAAACAAAGTCCTGGACAGGATGCTTCAAAACAGAATGACACTACAGAAGCAAAGAGAAGTCCCTTTTCTTCCAAGACTTCTAGTCTTCGTATGCCATCCCAAAAGATCGGCTTCTTTGACATGGTCAGTTTCTTTTACACATCTCTTTAAGTTCATATATAGTTGGACAAATCTGAAATTGAGATTTATTAATTAGTTCTCTTCTTTTAGAAATTTCAGAAGCCAGAGACCAAAAGGCATGATCAAGATGGTATGTCTAATAATAAAGAGCAAAGGAAGAGGGACAAGCCCTCCTCCAAGAACCAAAAACACTCTTGGATTCGAGGAAAAGGAAAACATTTTCCACCCCGAGGATACTGTGATTGAGCTTAAATTAAAGAAAGGTTCCTCGTCAGCTTCTCAGTCTGCTAATGGCTCCTCACCAAGATCTGATCAGTGCTCATCTACTTCCAAGAAAAGCCACACTAAAGTTCAGCGACCAGCACGACAAAGTTTGTTCAGCCCAACTCCTCGCACTAAGACATCAACATCAATTCCCAAAGTTTCGCCATTGAAGAAAAGTGCTTTCTTTTAAACTGAGTAATCCCAAAGGCAGTGTCCAAGAAGGTAGATAACTTAGATCTAGGTTCACCTAAAAACTTATTAGACGTTTGAAAGACTCTCATACAACTGTGGGTTGCCATCATAATGAGACAAATGAAAGCGAAAATTAGTAGGCTGAGATGATGTTTACTTGTACCAAGGTGAAAATAGTCTTAATGAAAAGTTCGAGCATTGAGCAGGTCGATTATGTAAAGCCAATAGGCTAATCTATAGATAACGATTGTTGATTCGGATTTTGGTCCAGAGCATCTTCTTGTAATGATTCTTCTACCCATAAGTATAATTTTGATATGTTTCCATATTTTTTCCTTGACAAAGACCATTGCACATGTGGGTTCATGCATTATTTTTCCTAAAATGGGACCATTTCACATGGTTGAACAAAGCTTCAACTTGAAATTTAATTTAACAACACTTTGTCTTCACCTCCTCAGTGCCTGTTCATCGTTCATCATGACGAAGTTTATACAACATAGCCAGTGTCCTAGAACACCTTTGGCACCACGGAATTACATATTTCAAGCACCTTGAGTTTTGTCACTTTAAGGAGCTTTTTCCTCCTCTACTACTCCCATCATTAGAGCTCTTTTTAAGCATAATTGTTGTATTGACTGAATTTTTTGTTTGTTTCGACAGCATTAATTTGGCTTAATCTAAGGTCATAATCAAGAATAATGTGAGATATATAACTTTTTGTATTAACCACCTGAATGGTGCTTAGCCTTTGATGTATAATAACTGAATACAGAGTATAATCCAATCTATGGCAGGATTAATACTATTGAGTATTGACAGGAACAGACCAAAAAATAATGTTGAGGGTAATTTCTTTTTACTTGGAATTTTCTTTTGTAGTTACCAAATTAAACACAACTTAATAAATAATATGTGTTCCAGGATAATCTCTAATGACACCAAGAATATACACTCTTGTGGATATTACGAAAGTGCAGCAACCGATACATCAGTCCACTTAGAATTACGAAAGGAACCTACACCCAGAGGCTTTCAAGGACACATTCTGTCTGGACCATGTGTAGACCTATGTAACTAAGTGATTGAGAATCAGAAAACTGTTTCGACGTATGACAGAATCACAGAAGGAAAAGCAAGAGAGAAATTACGAAAAATCAGAGAACTACAATCAGATAAGCTGCACTGATGTAAGACATGTAATTTGGAAACTTGATTAGCCTAACTAACTCCCAACTGATCTTACAAACATTCCAGGTTTAAAGTTATGTAGATTTATGCTGACATTCTGACTGCTGTAATATTAGGAAATATGACATTGAGGTTGATATAAAAGTCTTCCTTTCTTACTTATTAGGAAAGATCAAAAACTTCAAACAGTTCAAAACTTAAATCAGTTACATTAACTTGCCCTGCACTAAAAAACGATGTACTCAAACTCGATGGATACAAGCTTTATAAAATGGCACAAGGAAGCCTTGCTAACTCATAACATAGCTACATAACAGAGGCACCCTGCAGCTCTACCTAGCATGAAGCATCAGTATGTACTGAAACCATTGCTATAAAGAACAACAATTCTTTAACGATAGCAGACGTTTAGAAAAAGAAATAAATTTTCTGAAGCGTAGTTAATGTCTTAAAACCCAATGGTACGATTGTACTCCTACAGAAATTTCAGTGAAGAACTTTCAGAAGAAGAAATCTCAAATCATCATGTTCTCACAGTACAACTTGCGGTTACTATAAGTTTGGGTAAAAAAAAAAAATCACAAAACACCAGCAAATTCACCAAGGTTGCGATTCATGAACCAGTATGAGCATATGCTTGCAGACATATAAACAAAATGGACTTACATTTTCCTCGATGAAGTTCAAACAACTATCATTGGCCACAATAGCAGCGATCTTTCCATTCTTAATCAACTGCACACGAGCACAATTTCTGAGAGCAGAGTTGAGCTGTTTAGCTTCAATACCACTGCATCACAAAATCTAAGTAGTTTAATTTCTCATAAAAAACTGATTCATCCACATATAACAGCAGGAAAGGAAATAAATTACGGAACATTGGACAACTATATTCAGCTGCACAGATATAAGACGTGTAATTAGGAAACGTACTTGATTAGACAAGCTAACTCCCAACTAATCTTACAAACATTCCGGGTTCAAATGGATTTAGCTACATACTAACAAGTTGGACTTATTAATTGAAATTGCAACAAATAAACAAAAACAGCAGCAGATGTAATACATGGCTATCAAGAAAAGATGGATATACTAATACATATAATCTCAACTTGTTTTATATTGAACATATACCACATCAACAGACGGCCCACCATTTTATCAATGACTCGTTCATCATTAATAGTTTACTCCAATAATTTCTTCAGTTGAGTAGCTAGACAATGACAGAAAAAAAATTATAAACTCGCTCTGCCTGAGATTAATTATCAGTAATATGACAACTAATTCTCTACAGAACAAAGTAACAAATAGAACATATAAATAAAATTTTCCATATATATATTAGTTAAAAATATGTTACAAGGGAGATAAAAAGTCGAAATTTTTACAATGTACAGGCACTAAATCAAGCTTGTCATGGCTAATTTTCTTAGCATCTTCTTTTTTATGGACCTTAAAGCATCACTAACATGGTTGATGATTCAGAATTCTGAAGGGAAACCCCTTATAACCCCTATCTAAAAAGTTTAACACAGACAAATTAAAATTCCAGTTTACTAACATCATGAACAAAATCTACAATCAACTGTCTGTGTATAATCTAATTTAGCTCTCTTCTTTATAGAAAAGAAACTAAGCACATCATCATAACTAAGTTCTTTTCCTGGGGTGTTCATCTGTACAAGAAATTTTCACCATCAATATCATTTAGGAAGATATATATAATAATCCTTGTATCATCGATTCGATTCGATCATCGTTTCATATACGACTCGAAAGCTCGATCATCTTCCTGTTTTCCAAATTTTCCAGTTGATTTTGGCGAAAATTTTCATCCCCCTATGATCAACCATGTGTTCTTGTTAATTTTTTTTTTTTTTGGTAAGGTCACATTATTTATTGGTGCCATGACACAACAATATCACCAAGACCTGACTTCAACTGCTCCCAATGAACTTCTTCTTGATCCCAACCCACTCCACCACCATCCACAACCTTCATCTCCACCACGACCAACTCGGCCGCCACCTCGGACACCGTCACCGACAAAACAAACCTCCCTTTCCCTAACCATACACTAAAATTCCCACAACAATTCTCTCTTTTCTCAACCTCATACCCCAAATTCTCACCTACTCCCACCACCTTCTCCACCACCACCGCCTTCGGCTCCCTCGACGTAAACCTCTTTTCCCTCCTTCCTTCTGAGTAATCTTGATCAAACATCCCAGACAAATTCAACCCCGACGACATGGTTATAATCTCGAAAGCATTCATACTTTCGCCACACCTCGTTCTATCACCATTGTTACCTGCTGAATCCGACATAGTATTACACTTCTCCAATAACAGCATTTTCTTGTACTTCTTCTCCTCCAATGAAGCCATATCTCCAAGGCTAACACTCCTTGGGTACAACATTCCATGATTCTTAAACCAAGAATCATTTGGAATGTCGTCAATGCTCAGCCGGCTCTTCGGAATCGGATCGAGGAGCCGGCTGATCAACCCCCTCGCGGGTTTCGAAACCCACGACGGAAACCTGTACTCCTTCCTATGCATCTTCCGATACATTATAACCAAATTCCCATCATCAAAGGGCAAATACCCCGTTATCATAACAAATAATATAACGCCACAAGACCACGCATCCGCCTTCGACCCATCGTATCCATTCCGAGTCCTCCCCACAATCTCCGGCGCTGCGAAAGCCGGGGTTCCGCAAGACGTTTGCAACATCATCTTTTCCTTTGACACAGCCACCGCGCTTTCGGCCACAGCCGAAAGCCCGAAGTCCGAAACCTTAATGTTCCCCTCCTCATCAAGAAGAAGATTCTGCGGCTTGACATCACGGTGCGCAACTCCGTTCTGGTGGCAATAATGAAGAGCCGAAACAAGCTGATGAAAATACTTCCGCGCTAACGGCTCAGGAAAACGATGATCAGCACGGCGCGAAAGCTTTCCGAATAAATCACCGCCCTTAGCGAGCTCCATAACCAAATAGATTTTCGATTTTGATGCCAAAACTTCATGGATCTTGAGGATGTTAGGATGATTAAGCCTCCGCATCGCGGCGACTTCGCCTACGATGCGAGGCTCCATAGAAGGATGGGTTTTAGATTTATCGATTACCTTAATAGCAACGGACTGATTGGTGGTCAAGGATCGAGCATGGTAAACCTTGGCAAAGCTACCTTTGCCGAGGAGTTTACCGGATTGGTATCTTCCGAGGATGGTTTTTGCGGCGGTAGATGAAGGCGGAGAAGAAGAGGATGAAGGGGGTTCTGCAACCGCTGCCGCCATTGAAGGGGGAGGAAGCGGAGAAGAGAGATAATAAAAAAGGGGTGAAAGGAAAGGACCGGCGAACCAAGTAAATAAAATTGGGTGAAGGCACGGACAAATGTTCAGTGATTGAGGGTGAGGGTTTTATAAGGGACTTTGGTGAGTCATTTTCTTAATAAATTGACAATTTCTATTTATATTTAGTTTTTTTATTTTCTTATTTTGAAAATTTTTTATGTTGCTTTGTTGTTTGCATTCCCTGAAAAGCTCAAAGTTCATAATAATTTGTAACAAGATGAGTCATATATAGGGGTGGGACTTTTCAAACCGAACCGTAAAACCGTCCGTTACCGAACCGAACCAGTACGGACCGAACCGTTTATAACCCGCTAATTTTAAACCGAAAACCGAACTGAACCGTATAATGTCAAACCGAAACCGAACCGAACCAATTAATGTTAACCCGTTACGAACCGTAAACCAATAACAAACCAAACCGTTTATAAACCGAAACCGTTTGAACCGATTAATGTTAACCCGCTAACTAATTAAACCGAACCGTTTATAAACCGAAACCGTTTAAACCGTAGGAAAAAACTGTTTAAATAGAACCATTTACAACCCGCTAACCGTTTAAACCGAACTGTTATAACCCATTAAACCGTTTAAACCGAACTATTTTCAAACCGCAACCCGTTTAAACCGATCTGATTACAAACTATTTAAACCGAACCGTTTACAACCCGTTCCATTCAAATTGAACTATTTACAGCCTTTAACAATTTGTTAGAATTCCACGAAATATATTTGATGTTTAATGTAATTTAACAGTACAATTTTTTTTACATATAATTATTGATTTAAATTTGTAAATTTTTTTGCTATTATAAAATTAAAATTATATTCTTGTATAACTAAATTAGGAGTTATAAATTAAATAAAAAAATGAAAAAATTTGGCCACCCACCCAATCCAACCACCCTCCACCCACCCACCACCGTAACCCACCCTAACACCACCCCCGCCGTCACCCCAGACCCACCCTAACACTACCCCCTACCCACCAGCGTTACCGTAACCCACCCCCACCCCACCACCGTTACCGTAACCCACCCCCACCCCACCAACGTCAACCCAGACCCACCCTAACACCACCCCCGCACCCACCATAATTACCGTAACCCACCCCACCCCACCCCACCACCCACCGTAAATAAAAAAACCCAGACCCAAACCTTACCCCACCCCATCCACCACCGTCACCGTAAATAATAAAAACCCAGACCCATACCCCACCCCACCTACCACCATCACCGTAACGTACTCCACCCCACCCCCTTAACAAACCCCACCCCACCCCACCCACCACCGTCACTGTAAAAAATAAAAAAATAAAAAAAATAAAAAAAAATAAAAAAAAAACAGACCCAACCCCAACCACACCCACCACTGTCACCGTAACACACCCCACCCCACCCCATACAAAAAAATCGAAAAAAAAACCCAAACCCACCGTAACCCCACCCCACCCACCCCCACGAAACCCAACATCCTCGAAACCCCCCAACTCACTCTAATTGCTCACCCACCATAAAACTCCCTCCCTCCCTCGAAAAATCCTCCCTCCCCACCCACCCGAACCCAGTCTAACCGCCGCCGCACCCACCCTAACTCGGCCCCCTCCGTTGCCCACAACTTGAAAAAAAATTAAAAAGAAAAACAGAAAATAAAAAAAGGAAGAACGAAAACACCTTATATATTAATCCTGAATTTGGCCTCGAATTTGGTTTTAAAAGGCCAAATTCGATCATGAAACAACTAGATCTAGAGTTTCGTGGTCGAATTTGACCATAAAAACCGTCGTGCGTGGTGCCGGTGGACGGAGACGGAGAAACGAGATGGAAGAAAGGAGAACATAGACTGAAGAAGGGAGAAGAAGGAAGAAGAAGAAAGGAAGAAGGAAGAGGAGATGAGAGAGAAAACGAGAGAGCAGTGAGCATATTAGCAGCCATGGCTTCAAAAAATTGATAATATTACAGAAGAGGATTAAGAAAACGAGAGAGAAATCAAAAAGAGTACTAAAGAGACGATGGTAAGAGTGATCTGATTGGTGGAAAAGAAAACACACGGATCGTGAATTGGAATGTGTGCGATGATAGGTCGTTAGATGACATGCAAATCAATGGCTGATATTTAATATAAGACGGTGACACGGATCATGGGATAATGGATTTGGATAATATGTTTTTTTTTATTCATAGCTACGTACTAATAAAAACACTACTGTACTCTTAACTTTATGTAACTTATAAATTGTAAGAAACACAAATGTTTGGAAATTGGAATTGATTCAATATGACATATTTAATGTATATTAGTTATATGTATATTAGTATATGTAATAAATAATAATGTATGGTACGATTGGTATCATACTATCATTGGTATGTATAGATAATCGATAAATGTATCTGATTATTAAAACTTAAAACAGTTGATGATCGATCAAATTGAATACTTCTACTTCCCCACCCGTTTTCTTTAACTTGCAAGTTGCAACATATATATGTTGCAGCCTTGTAGGCACGTAATCTTAAAAGGTGATTAGAGAGGGTAAGACAACAAAGTAATTCAGCAATATAACTTTAACACCAAAATTATGGAATAGTTACAAACAATTGTCAATTATTACTTTATTAGACTAATGGGAAATTGAATAATCGTGATTTTAATTAAACATCCAAATATAGTTCCGTAACATTAAATTATTAGTTTATTACAATATCAATTATCGATTTATCGTATTCAAAGTACCAATTCATCAAATCATGGTTATGACGCGATCTTTAAAACAAGAAGCTGATAGCCTGATAATATTTGATAATGAAACAATAATACATTAATACCTTATAAATTTGTAATAGACTAATATTTAATAAACAACAACAAGACTATAACCAAATTTGAAACATAACACATTAACATGATATAGAATGAATGAGAATTTCTGTAATTCTATATAATCTGATATCTGAATCGATTTATCGTATTCAAAGTAGCAACTCATCAAAACATGGTCATGACACGATATCTAAAACAATCCAACAAGAAGCTGATAACCTAATAATATATATTTAATAATGAAACAATAATACATTAATACATTATAAATTTGTAATAGACTAATATGATAATATCGAATAAACAACAACAAGAGTATAACCAAACTTGAAACATAACATATTAACATGATATAGAATAATTGAATAAATGAAGATTTGTGTAATTGTATATAATCCGATGTCTGAAAATAAAGTACGAAGTCCCAACTTTATATAAAACGAAAATAGCTAACCGGTCAAAAATCTCTTAAAACCCAATTTCTACTCGATCCATTATTTTTTTCACCAACCTATGCCGACCCGCTAATGAAATGGAAATACTAGTCCCAACTTGATATAAAACAAAACGCGCTAACTGGTCAAAACCACTTTTTAGAACTCGATTTCAACCCGATCCAATTTAACCGATTACCAAACTAACCCGAACGATTTTAGCACCAAACCGAGTATAAACCGAACCGATATGAATCGAACTAGCATTAACCCGGGTAAACCCGCCCCTGAACCAACCCATTTTAAAATAATCCGTTCATGACCCGAACCGATATGAACCCGGACCGACGTTGACCCGGTAAAACCGCCCCTGAACCGATCCGTTTCAAACCGGTCAGATCATGACCCGAACCGTTTATAAACCGAACGGGCATTGACCCGGGTAAACCCGCCCCTGAACCGACCTGTTTCAAACCGACCCGATTATTAACCGAACCGTTTAAAAACCGAACCGGCATTGACCCGAGTAAATCCGCCCCTGAAGTAACCCGTTTCTAACCGATCTGATTATGACCCGAACTGTTTATAAACCGAACCGTTTATGACCCGAACCGAATTTAAATCGTACAAAAATAAACCGAAACCGAACCGACCTGTGACTAATCAAAACCGAACTGAACCGACCCGCCGTCTAAATGAAACTGTTTTAACCCGAACCGTTTCAAACCGAAACCGTTTCAAACTGAGGTCAAATCGAACTGCCAGACCGAAGTCCCACCCCTAGTCATATACTGTATAATTTATTTTGGTACTTAAATGTTCTAAGAGAAATCAAACATTATCATTTGAATTGAATTGCTATTTAACCACAAACATATATTACTTGATGTTCACAATTTTATGGTACCTAATATGTAATGATCGTAGGGCCTGTTTGGTTCGACCTTTTGAAATGTGTTGGAATCGACTTGAAATCCATTTTATTTATTTTATTAATTATTGTTTGGTTAGTCTTTTAATTAATGTGTGGAACCCCAGATCAAAAGGGTTCTAAAATCTCATACTCACTTTTCTCTTAAGATTTACTGTCCATTTCATTAATGAGATGTAAAAAATCATTCTCAACATTCAACCGAACTAACTTTAGGCAAGTATGTGATTTTAAATCCATACCTCTCTAGTATAAGTGAGATTCCATATCAATCTATTCTAGCTCAAAACTTGACACAAATTCAGTTAAGTCTGCTTTTGATGGGAAGAACAAAGATTAGAATCTAAAACCGCCAAATGTTTTCTCGACACTCCTATGTTTTCGACGTCTCTAACAAATTAAACTGAGATGAAACCACAAATACTTTCTCTTGGTGGAGTGATGAAAAACCAAATCAAAACCAGTGGCGGATCCAGGATTTCCGAGATAGTGTGTCACCATCAATTATTGATCATTTGTGAAAGTACAATTTTTTTTCCATGTCTTGTTCATAATTAATTTCAATCCAAAAATTATATATGTATATATATATATATGTATATATATATTTCACCAAATTGATTTCAATCCAAAAATAGGACACAAAAATTCATACCACAACCAAATACAGTACTTAAGAATTCAATTTTACAAGTCGAAAATACTACAAATAACATGTTATAAACAAGTGGTACAATAAAATTATTATATCGAATTAACTTTATGATTTTTTAGTTAATTGATAAGCTTTATGGGGAAATATTAAAATTGGTTGTACAAATATAAGATATAAAAAGGGAAAAAAAATTATTAAAAAATTATACAAAAAAAGTGAGATAACTTAAGAGACCAGTTATTAAATATAACTGGTCTCTTTAACGAAAAAAAGTAGCGTACAAAAATTGCGAAATGCAATAGCAGCATCAAAGAGACCGCTTATATAAATAACAGGTCGCTTTAATATTTAAAAAACA